TTTAGTGGATTCATTGGAAACTTTGGCGCTTTATGGCTTTATTCACGAACATCCATTTTTATTGATCTTTTTCACGAACATTAAGTACACATAAGTCATTCTAGACGGTTAAAATCGACAACGAATAAGACAATTTCCTTTTTTTATACAGTTGTTTTCCAAAATTGCTGAGCCCTCTATTATAGCAACGACGTATTGTGCTGGAAGGTTTTCGAGGACAACGGTCCGAAGGAATAAGTGCCTTGAAGGCGTAATCATTTGTCCGATACCGTTCATTAATTGATAGGACGCGTGTTCTTCTTCTTAAGAACGATGCAATTTCCCCCCTTCTCCCTCGCAATGCATCAATCAATGGAGCGCGGGACTCATTTTCCGAATACTTAACGATTGAGCGCCGCATTTCTGGTTTGAAAAGGGTGAACCATAGCGAGAGCTTCACCTTTTCCAAAGTAGGTTTCAATGCAATCTTGTAACTTCATGTGATGAACTCTTCTTTCAGCCATGCACAGCTGCTTCCGCTCGCCCATGTGGAAGCTTCACCGTGAGTTACTATAACCATCCATTGGCGCTACGATATTCCATGCTCCAAGCACGATCGCAACATTACAGGCAAACCGCCCTTCAATGGTCGTCTACGGTGTGCCTACATATGACGAGGGATACGATGGATACGATCAGGCTCCACCAGTCATGTATGCACCACAACCTATGTACCCTCCACAACAACCGCCTTTATCATATATTCAACCACCACCACCACCGCTACCACAACCACAACCAGGTCCATTGTATGGAGCAGTTCCCGAAATGTACGCACCGCAAGTTCCCATGGGATATGTGAAGCCTCATTATGTTATGCCAGCTCCACCGCCAGTTTATATCACTCCTGCTCCAGTCTACGTCACAACACAGCCGCCGCCTATATGCTGGGTTAACGAAGACGGTACTCGTTCGCTTTCTTTTTCTTAGCAGCCTTTTCATTGATAGTTGATATATTTTCGGAGAATATTGCTGTAAAGCCAGCAAGATTATACAGCACCCATACTCAGATTTTTACGAGAACCAGAGTGTCCGCAAAAGATTGCCACGTAGTCGATGAAAATCGAGCCCATCTATTTGTATTCCTTCACGATTCGACCGGTGCTCCTGTTTAGAGTCAGAAATAAACGCAGCCTTGAAATTTAACCTTCCGAGCTCCTTGTTACATGGATGCCGATTTTTTTCCACTTCCAAAGGTACTCATTATTGTAGATGTAATGGCAGGTACACTAAAGGAAAGCCATGTCTAAAGGAAGCTGCCGCATAGCAGTTTCAATAATTAATCCACACTACCCGATGAAGTGTTTCGATAAGAGCCAGGACACACGAGTCTTTGCGAGTTTATAAGGCATCGAGGTGAGGGTCATATTTGGTCACTGTGGACGGGGATCATACTTCGCTCAGCGTATTTTGTAGGGTTGACCCTTTTCTTTTGGGCGCGATACACTTGTAGCGCTTAAGGGGATCAGAAGAATGTGAACTGATTGAGGAAATATTCTCCGCGATATGCGCGGACCGCAGCCAGCCAACAAGGTCCGAGAGATGATCTGCTGGCTGCCGGGGACTCCCTTACTGGATCGGCTGAGAAAGTCCGCATTGGAGCGTTCGATCAGCGCACCAGCGTGTTGCTGAGTGTAGCTATTGAACGCAATGTGTGGCATTCTCCCAGTTTAAGAAGAGGGTAAGGTAATATCAGAGCCTGTGCTTCTGTTGAGGCGGAGGTGGTGTAGTGACAAGTGGCGCGCTTACCACTCGCGCGGCGCCGGGTTCGAATCCCGGGTCGACCAAGCCTTCTACCCTCCGGGGACGGTAAATTGGTACCAGATTCGTCTGGGAGGATAAAACACTGACTTGTACATCGGCTGGCCACCGCAAGTCATTGTATAGGCCACATCGCATTCAATAAGCCACTACGATTCTGAATGGAAGTAGAATGCGTGCCGCATCCCACAAAGGGATTGATCAACGGCGAAGACTTTATCCTTTTATCCTTTTATGCTCACTGTAAGAAAAGCATATCATTAAGAATTGTTTTAAGGTTTCGAATGTTGCTCGAAAATTCTTGGGAAGCTCATGGTAGACTTTCTGTCCAGCGAACAGGCACCCAAAGGATGTAACATGCAGAAAGCCGCTAACGCACTGCAGGTGGATTTTTGTCCACAAATTTTCAAAAACATGCCTGCGTCCTCAGCTCAATAAAATGATAATGTGAATTTCCGGGTATATTCTTCAGGTCTTGGCTCAAAATCACTTCAATTACTCGTTCGAAGCAATAATTTCTCAATCAGAAATGGCGACTAAAATTCACTTCATGGGGAGATTAATGTGTAAAATTCGTACGAAGGATGGTAAAGT